GAGGGCCGTCAAAACCAGCACCAGCAAGGGGGCTGCACGGGAAAGGTTAGACACTTGGGGGGGGGGGAAGGAGGTCAAGGGAACTGCATAGGGAAGTTTAGAAACGGGGTGGGGAGTGGGGGGAAGGTCAGATATAACCCCCCAAAAGAATGAATTCAGGAGCACCGCACCTCGCCAGTAGTAAGTTTCAAAAGCAAACCCTGCGCCGCGTGGCGTTACCAAGTACGAGCAAAGAGCGGCTGAACAAATTTCCTAACAGCTGTTTCCTTGGAATAGAGAGTTCTCAAACCCAGGCTGCTTGGTTGGCGCTTTCTGAGGAAACAGAAGAGTAAAACCAAGAGCTCAGAAGCAAAGTGGGTACCAGTGGCACGTTTCACTTGCTTTTTGGCTCGCTTACTCAAGACCGGTTGCTAAGCAATTTTTTTTTTTTTTTAAAAGCTCAAAACTACTCACTGCCAGATGGATTAATGAAAACACACACTTGCACTACTGACAACATTTTTCATTTATATTTCTTGACACACCAGTACTGTTTCTTTTTATTATTTCTTTTAAAGCAATTCCATTCCCAGGTTTGAAAGTAAAGGCATAAATTAAAGAGAGCAGGGGAGAGGGGAGGAACAGAAAGCATCTAAGTGTAATTATCAATTTTTTCAGTGGATTGCAGGAAAGAGGTACCTAGAGACTTGCACGTCCTCTGGGACCTGTAGTAAAGACAGCATGTCTAGCTCAGCATAGCGATGTGAGGCAGCAGGTGACCTGAAGGTGCCTTGCTCTTAACTGGTTTATCTATTTATAACTACATGACATAACCTGTGACAGCACAAGTCAACGCAGGGTTATTTCAGCAGTCAAATAACCATACACATTCTCTTTTTATTTACACCTTACGCGTAGCGATGCTCTTTCCATTTTCACTCCCAGTTCTTTCGAGCTGAAACCTGGCATCTGGCACTGCCTTGCGGCCTGTGCCCTGAAACGCCACCCAACTTACCTATGGCTTGGTAATTTTTAAGAAGTCATGATCAGAAAGAAATAATGACCCGCCATACAATGTAACCAACCATTCTGTCAATGTTAAAACCAAACTGCATATTAGCCATTACCAAGGCCCATTACCAAGGCTGTAATTACAGCGGGGATAACGGAAGGGGGAGGGGAATCCATCCCATCCCCAAATGGAGGAGAAAACGCATCTCTGCCATCTCCAACTTTCTGCCCACTGAAAGTGGGGGGAGGAGGGATGGGGGAGACTGCAGCACGGCAAGCAGCAACTCCAAGGCCGCTCTTTTCCCTTTACAGCTGGCAGCGAGCTGACAGGCTCAGCATCAAAGACTGATACACAGTTGGGTCATTTTGTGGGGTGCCACTGGGGCATGAAGGAGGCTGCAGCAGAGCTTCCTGGCTCCAGATCCTCCCTTACACCCCCCGCCACGGACAGAGGAAGTCTGGTTTGGTGCAGAAAACCAACAGAAAGGACTTTCTTTTCCTTTCTTTTTGAGAGCAAGTAACCTCTGGTGCAGTTTACTGTTGACCAAGCCCATAAGGAAAGAAAAGGTCAGGGAAGGAGCGAAAACCACAGGCCTAGTGGGAAAGAAACAGGATAGTCACCATGTTCAGGATGAACCGAAGGAGACAGCCAAAACCTCAAGGGAGCCATGAGGAAGAGGTGGCAGAGTGGAAGAGGCAGCAGCAGAAAAGGGGGATGGAGAGGTCAGGTAGAGTCTTGCAGGAGGCTCGTCCCGGGAAGGGGCGAGAGGTGGTGTGTGTGGGGAGCTGGAGGTGTGTTGATAGAAAGCATCAGGCTGCAGACCCGTTGAGAGTCACGAAAAGCAACTCTGAGGCAATGGGGAGCCTCACGAGACTGAGAAAAGAGTGGACAAGGCAGGCGCAAGTTTCCTTGCACTTTTGAGGCACACAGCCCATCAGGGGAAGAAGGCAAAGAGCGAGAGGGGGAGAGACTTGCCAAACGCCACGGGCAGCGTCCCCCGGAGGGACGCCCCAAGAACCTGGCGAGGAGGGACAGCCCAGAAGTCCGGGGGGGGAGCGAGCGGCACCACGCTCTGCGGGGCAAGAGGATGGTGTGCTGGGCGAGGGGAGGCTCTGCGGG